CCAGGGGAACTACTTCGAGGGTGATGGATGAATTTAATACCTGAGATAAGTGTACGGGTTTTTATACGCGCAGTCTGGAAACCTTCCGATCGCATCTCGTAGTTACATATGCACATTAAAGAATACGTTATAACATAAAGTTACAGATTTCCTGTTAATTATGTCGTAATAATTAATTAAAATAGTATACCTATAGCCTTCCGACAGGCCGATCCCTCGTCCAGGGAGTCCTACCAAAATGTCTATAGATCAAGCCAACGAAAAGTTGGGACCCGCAGTGCTCAGGCACTTGAAGAACGGGTCGTTCCCAGTATACGAGGTGCGATCGGAAAGTTTCAAGACTGTGTCAATAGAGGGCGAACCGGATGTAGTACGAGCTTCTGCCGCTAGGGGGTGCGGCCTACATTCATAGTGAATCAGTGTGCCAGCCGGCATCATCGAATTAGCCGAAAACGTTTAGACACTGGTAAAAAGAAAATCTATATTTAACAGAAGAGTTATTTTAAATGCTTTTATATTTTTAATGCGTTCCATTTTATCGTGATATTCCTGGTGAATTTATACTTGAAATTCACTACAAACTTAGATTTAACGTTCAAAGTAAACAGACAACTCGCGTGTACATCATGGACATTACAAAGCAGGGGTTACATCACGTAACAGTCCTAGGTACTGAGTGGAAGAGGAAAGAGGCTGTTCAATTATGAAAAAGCAGGGCGTGCGAGAAGGAACCAGCGCTGTATCACGCTTTTCCACCTTAACGCTTCTCACGTATATTATCCTTCCGCGTCCAGGGTCTGTCTTTTAGGGGGACTTCAGCCACAAACTCAAGACAGTCGGATGAAGGTAGAACAAGATGGAATAAAGGACACAATCGATTCAACTTCTGGAACGTGACGGAGGGACGAGTCAAGAAACTCAGAGACGAGAGACAGAGACACTAACAGATCGACAGAGAGAATGTGTGTGAGAAACAGATGAGACGATTGAGAAAAAGACGAAAAACAGTAAGAGAAAGACGGAGACAAGATGATTGAGGTAAAGACAAAGACACACACTAAATGAGAGATACATAAGAGAAAAGAAAGGAATTGGGTTGAGAGATGAGAAACAATGGACCAAGTGACAAAATTTCTGTCTCACTGAACAAACTTTCTAGCTGTCCTCTTTTAAGAGAATGTATTTTGGTATTATGGTGAGTTATGACTCAAACTGAGATAATCTCTTTACAAATTGTCTTGCCTCTTTAAGAAAACAAGAAATGGTTGGAATGACTCCCGGAAAATCTTTACAGTTGTAAGATTCCACTATTTGAAGAACGTCTGTTTTCAGAAATACAATATCAACGCCAACAAAAAGCACAAAAGATAAGACAGGGAGATATTTCAGTATGATAATGGATATACCCCTTCTGAGACTTTCACACAACCGTGGCCTGTGTTAATGTACTTTTCCAGCATTTACCTGGAAGGATATGGAAGGCCACGAGAAATGTCATCAAACATTCCATTGGATTCCAGCCACGCCAATCTGCTCTGTGTGTTATTTCCAAAGAATAAATATTATCTTACGCAATATATAAATTAGAAACATCCTAACTGAGCGAAATCTACAAATTATTCTTTGAGCCATCACAATTTACTTATATTTTTAGAGTAGGAAGTAAAATTCTATGATGCTGATGACGACTGGATTAACCACTTCTGTATTAAGTAAAGGCTATGTAAGACTTGAGGTTCTCACAGCGGTGAGTATGAAGATTTCCGTCTTCTGGGTTGTTGCGCTGTGTAGTCTGGTCGATGTTAACCAACGTTTCAGAGGTCATACTGC